CACTGATTTACCCTCTTTCTGCATTTTTTTTCTAGGTTCCTTTCTATCCATATACAGTGATGCTATGCGTAGATCTCATACAATATGAATCTGATACTATCAATAATTTAATTGAATCAAGATGTTACAACTGGTGAAGGACAAAGCTAAGACCTGAGTCTACAGCTTTAACCATACAAGGTAGGCAGGAGGTAGGTACAAGCAACAGGTCTCTTTCTTAAGCTGAGGCTCCACAGTTCTCAGACTATAAAACAGAAATTGCATGCATCTAGGGATAAACCTTTTGAACCTGGGCCAAATTGCAATCATTCAGATGTCTACTGGGATACATTCTAAAGGGGTTCACGGGCTAAGTACTAACAGTTTATTCTGGGATATTGCAAAGTGCATCTGAACGGTTATCCTGGGGTTGCATCATTGAATCAGTGTCAGAAAAGCAGCAGTGCATTCAGCATCTTGCTAAACCCTGATCAAAAGGATGGTGTTTGTGCAAGCCAATCCTTCTATTCCGAGACAATTACAGGAACAACTTGTCCAATGACGAATGCAACATCTGTTCCTAGCCTTGCTGACATAAGCTGTATGCTGCCTTGAGCCAAAATTCTCTGTCAAACTGGTGTCCATATCACAGAAATCCTCATCGTTGCCCCTTTGCCAGGCTCAGCAAAGAGGCCAATGCGTAGAGAATGAAATATTTGGCCACCCAAAAAGAGGTCCCTTCAGGCCCAGTTTCTGACAGGCTGGTGTGACCGCACAGAAGCAGCTGTTAGGCTGATAATTAAGACTCCTCCTTTGGTATGTCAATTCTGCATTTTATCCTCAACTAACTGTAGCCTAGAACAGCTTATGCCTTTCTGAATAAGTCAGTCTCAAAGGTGCCACCCTGCCCTGTCTTCTGCTTGTCACGTAGGTAGTCTTGAGTTTTAAATTTTATGGCCAGGCTTATGATTTTGCATTGAAAGTATAGAGACCTAAAAATATACAGTTGTGGGGAAAAAAATCACAATATGCTTTAGTGTAACTTAACACAGTTGGCTGCTTTGATTCATGGAGGGGCACTATCTAACCCAGGGGTGGACAAAATGCGGCCCGCAGCCCACCAGGCCATTCTGTCTGGCCTGTGGGGCCCCTAAAAATTTTAGAAAATTAATATTTATCTGCCCCTGGCTGCCTGTCATGTAGCCCTTGATGGCTTGCCAAAACTCAGTAAGTGGCCCTCCACCCAAAATAATTGCCTGCCCCTGCTCCAACTAGAAGAGCTGGCATTGTCGGCAATCCCTCGGTACGAGGAGGACACGGGGCAGTCTTCCAGGAACTAGGGAAAAGTCATCAGTGGGCGCGTCAACATGTTCACGAATGAATGCGTTTTTGCTAATGTGCCTTAAATGTATTGCCTCCATTGTGAGGTACTAGAAACGGCGCATTAGCCTCTTTTAACCCGCAAGAGTGAAAAGGCAGAATTTTTCTGTGACGCTTGAATGCGCATTAAAGTGCACATGTAGACGCTCCTAGTACGCGTGTTGGTAGATGACTGAGCAGGACCACCTGAGGTCTGTGTGGTCGCCTGGGGCCGACTAGTCGCGGGAGGAAGGATGGGAGCCGGGCAAACACGGGGCGCCTTCTTTTCCCCGGCTTATCTGTCCTTTGCAGCAAGGGCAGTTGACTTCAAGTGACCCCCGCCCCACAACGCGGAGGGGGACTCCCAGCCAGGCGGTGCGGGGGTCTCGGGCGGAGGTGGGAAGGGCTGGAGGGGGAGACTGCGTGGGGGGGCCGAGGCTGCGGGTGCTGGAGCACCCTGTGAGGGCCGAGCAGGCCGCGGCGGGGGA